GAATTAATGAACATGTCACTGAATACCAAGGGATGAAAACTTTCACAGACATTTGTTTAGAGTCTACCACCTGCCAGGTAAGCTAAGCCAGGGATCTGCTCTGATCTAATACTGAGGGGACCAAGAGAATGCCCCTCACAGCACACACTGTGATTTCAATGTGAGCAGTGGGTTCTACTCAGAAATAAAGGCCCAGAGGCTATAAAATGCAACAGAGGGTCATCAGTTGAAAGAGACACAGGATGGGTGACAACGAGGGCACAGCTAAAGTGCGACTCGGGAGAAGACATCTTTTTATAGACTGAGAAGAGGCTGGGATACAAGTGTTTGCAGCAGAAAGGACAGCAGAGCAAACTCTTCCAGGTGGGAAATAACTCCAGTTCAGGAAGCTGTACGCAGCTTACAGACAAGGCGGAAGTGTCCCAAGGTAGTGCAGATGATGAGGAGAGACAGGAACAATGCAAGCTGCCACCAGAAAGTGGACCCAGCTGTTGGGCAGAGAGGGACTAGATCAAATAAAGCTTGTCTGGTGTTTAACAAGGGCTATTGCTGGTTCTCAAATCTGATGCTTTCCATTTTTGCACACTGCTTTTTCTCCCTGGACTCAGTTTCCTTATTTTCCCACATTTAAGAAATGTTCTGTTTTTTGGAAAGAAAGAGAAGGAGAAAATCATTAGCCTGAAATATCCAAATCAATCCAGATGCCCCCTGGCAGAAAATAGCATTTCTCTAACTCAACTGAAGGCATCTCAGCCATAAATGCTTCTGTTACTCATGATCTCGAATGCCACTGTCCACCTGGGTCACACTTACCCACACTAAGCTTTCGAATGCTGGCTAGTCTGAATGGGAATAAGCTCTAAGAGTAAACACATACCAGAGTTTGAAGACTTAATACCAAAAAAAAAAAAAAAAAAAAATGAAGGGGAGTGTTCCTTGTAATGTAATGAGCAAGAGTTGAAATGATGGCTTTGATATAATGACTTAGGAAAAATATATTATTAAACGTAATTTTCCCTGTATTGTTGTACTTGCTTCAATGAGACCACCACCAAATAATCTTAAATTACCAATGAGGGCTCACATATGTTTCTGCTGGACAGAGCTGTTTCTAACACCAGTACAGTCCTTTCTTCATCAGTGTGTATTGAAAACAGTCATGTAAACTAAACGGAACTATTCATGGAATTCAACAAGGCAATTCCACAGAAGACATGTAAGAAACAAGCAGTCTGATGGGAAGAACCACCAGCTTGCTCTCTCCACAGAATAAACAGTAGGCTACCAAGCAGCACACACAACTGAAAATGTAGAAGGAGGGTCGTGTGCTTTGCACCAATGTTGTTAGAGCTGAGCAATGTCTGACACCTGTTTGAGGACTGTGTCGTCAAGGTGATTGTTCAGAAAACCCATCCACTTGCTTGGCTCTATGTCAAAGACTATAATCTCTGACTAGATGGTGATGCTCATGGGTTTTCCATACTTCAATCATGGTTCAGTTCTATCAAGAACCTAAACCTGACTTTGACCACCGGGCAGTTGTGACAAGGGGAAGGAAGGATAGGAAAAGCAGTTTCCCTCCCCCCACAATAATATCATACATGGGCTGATGGCAAATACATCTCTCAATTTTTTGCATGTATTTATTTTGAAATAACATCAAGAAAAACATAAGAAAAAGGCAATGAACTCTTTTAAACTACTCACTCAGACTTATAGATTTTCCTTGTTAAAATTCTTTTTATTTTTATTTTTTTATTTTTTGCATTTATCTTCAGATAGGGTGGAAGGGAAAGGGGAGGAGAGAGAAAGAGAAACATTGATGTGAGAGAGACACATCGACTGGTTGCCACCCACACGACCCCATCCAGGACTGGGGACAAATTGCAACTGAGGTACATGCTCTTAGCAGGAACTGAACCCGGGACTCTCTGGTTTGCGGGCCGACGCTCTAACATCTGAGCCGAACTGGCCAGGACTCTTTTTATGTTTTAATTATACTTTACATTCAACGTTAGTTTGAATCAGTCTCCCTATTAACTTTTTATCACATTTGTTTTATCATTCTTCCTGCATGACTGTGTGTATATATTGCATTTTATACATACGCACAATGTAATTTTCAAAATCATTACAAAATAAGTTGCATAAATTATATTCTTTACCCCTATTTATTGTAGTAGGTTCTATGAAAGAACAAGGACATTCTCCTATATAACCACATTACAGCTATCCAAATCAGTAAATGAATATAATACATTTCTACTATTTTATCTACAGGCCTTAAAATTTAACCAGTTTTTCCAATAGTATTCTTTATAGCACAAACATGACCTGTTCCAAGATGCAGTTTGGATCAAGTATTTCAATGGATCATCATGTCAATTCTTTCTCTTTTATGATAGAATAGGTCATCATTTTGTTCCAGCTTTTCATGACTTGACTTTTGAAAAGTAGCGGGAAGTTGTTTTGTAGAATGCCCTCAGTTTTTGTTTGTGTGACGGTTCCTAATGGTGAGGAATATTATGGAAATCTTACTGTCCTTGTGCACTGATTCAGGGGTGGTTATGCTGAGATTGACCAGGATCTTCACCATCAAGTCACATGGTTTGCTCTTATAATTAGTCAGTATTTTATAGGTAAATACTTTGAAAATATATAAACATCCTGGTCCTCATCAAACTCTCACCCGTAACTGTCAGCATTCATTTCGGCATTTTACAGTAAGGAACAGCAGCCCCTTCGCCTCAATAGTTTGTTCATCTGTTTTTTATGTTAGCATATACTCATGGATTCTTAGTTTATTCAATATCTTATCATCTGATAATATCATTATTTATTTGAACAATCAAATTGTCCCAGATTTCTTCAGTGAGCCCTTTCCAAGCTGGCTCCTAGCTCCTTTTGACATGCCTCACCGTTCTTTAAATATTGCCTTAATTTCTGGAACAACAAAATCTTCCTGGCTTAGCTGGGACTTTGGTTACCCAAGCCCTAGAATCAGCTACTTTTATAAGAAACCTTGGTTTATGTCAGTGGAGAATAGAATTTGGAAAGCCAGTGCTGTGTCCTGTGTGCTCATTGCTTTAAACCAGTGGTTCTTAACCTGTGGGTCGTGACCCCTCTGGGGGTTGAATGACCCTTTCACAGGGGTCGTCTAAGACCATCAGAAAACACATATTACGGATGGTCTTAGGAACCGAGACACCGCCCCTCTGTCTCCAGGTGGGTCCGCCCACATGCAGATATGCCCACATACAACATGAGGAACTGTATTAAAGGGTCGCGGCATTAGGAAGGTTGGGAACCACTGCAAGAGAGCCAGGAAATTAGGAAATCAATGAATACACTTGTACACAAAGGCATCAACACATTCTACTTTTTAAACACACACACAATATGCGAGATAATATACTATACTATGAGAATCACAATGAGCATAATATATAGTTTCCATCTGTTGAAAGGTCTATATTTTAGATTCTATATTTAAAGGGTATTTCAAAATTGAAGTTTAAAGTGATACTTTGCTTAAACTGCTGATCGTTCTGAGTCATTTACTAATACATTATAATTTTGTCCACAAATCAATTTACCTTAGTTACATACTAAATTGCAGTGGAAAGATAATTCATTGCCCAGTGTGATGAAATAATTAGGATGATTATATATTATTTATTATTATTCCATTTAAAAAACATAAGCAATTAACATTTGTCCAGAAAGCAGTGTGCCTCATTTCTCGTGCATGCCTTACTTTATTTAACTTGAGCAGTGACAGTGTAGAAAAGGTAGTGTTTTGTGGCCATTCCACGGGTGAAGAAACCCACCAGTGCTGGGAGTCATGGGGCTAGACCAGCAAATCTACCGTCTTCACACAGCCCTTGCTTTTTACCAACATTAGCTTTCCTGTGTCCCTGGTAAATAAAAGATCCAATGTTCATTAACACCAGCATCACAAAGAAAATAAACTTCTCTCCAATCACTTCTTAGAACTCCAGGACAAGAGGGTAGCATTAAAAGTGATTGAAGAACATTTTCCAAATCACACACAGCCCCAGAATTCTGGCATGTCCACAGGGAGTTCTAGAACCTCAGTGAAGGAGATATTTGTGCCATAACCATCTTTTCCAAAGAGACCCTGGTTATCAGACCCTTCTCAAAGAATGGAGGCAGCCCGCCATGTGGCTCAGTGGACTGAGCATGGTCCCATGGACTGAGAGGTCCTGGTTCAATTCCCTCTCAGGGCCCAGGTCGTGGCTTGATTCCCAGCAGGGCATGAGCAGGAGGCAGCCAATGGATGTTTCTCTCTCACATTGATGTTTCTATCTCTCTCTCCCCTTTCCTTTCTCTCTAAAAAAAAAAAAAAAAAAAAATCAATAAAAAAAATTTAATAAATAAATAAAAGACTGGAGAGCAAAGTGGGCCTTTGCAGTTCAGCTCTGCCAATGAAATAAATACTCCATTCAGACATGAGTCTCAGGCTCCTTCTCCAAACAATCAACACAGACATAGATAAACTGCATTTTTATCTATCATCACTTATTCTTCACTAGATGTATTTTTAACACATATATTCATATTCATTTTACTATAAAGAGGAAACAATGATTTTCTATGGGGGTTGACTTTTATAAGACTATGATGGCTGGAAGCATCGATGTAAATAATCAATAAATTATAACTGGGCCAAAACAGGACGCTCCCAGACACTGAGGACATATCCTTTGAATTATCTGTCGTTTGAAGAAGAGAAAGTCAGGTGATGCCATTGAAAGGAAGAGCGACTGCCCAGCAGGAGAAAGGAGCCCCTGCGAATTACAGCAGGTGGTGACTGATACCAAACAGGGCAGCCAGGAGTCCTGTGGCCTGACCTCCTGAAGCAATGAAGCCCTGTGCAGCCTGGATTAATACCTTTACGTACATCTGTCTTCATGTCCTCCCACAGTGAGCTAATTGGGATGGAAAATGAAAGCTTGAGAAAAATAAATTGCACCTACCTGGATCAGAGACAAATCCTCAAGCTGTAATCTGAAGAGGTAGTTTCTACAAAATATAAAAAGAGAGCAGTTTTATTTTTAATAGGTCCGAGAAAATGACAGTTCCAAAAAATCATGAGAACAAAGGGGGAAAAAACAATGATTTTTGCTTCCAAAGGATTCTCCTGCTAAGAATGTGTGTAGTACAGTTTTCCTTGGACCTCAGAGTTCAAAAAGGCATTCAGTAATTCGATAGATACATTTGAGATCGGTGAGAAACTTAAGGCATTAGGGGTGTGTGTGTGTGTGTGTGTGTGTGTGTGTGTGTAGGTGCGAGACTCGGGAAAGTCTACACTATTAACTGGCTCTCTTGATCTATTTGAAATGGACAAAAGGACATGGGCATCTGTTCTGAAATAGAATTTAAGTAAGAGGATAGAAAACCATTCTTCATGAGTCTTCATTCTTACAGATTACCTATATCCACCAAGTTTCATCATGAAAACATGTCCAGATTTTGAATTCAACAATAATCCGAGTCCTAGAGTACTCTGTCTTGTCAGATGGGTTTAGTGCATAATAAGTTTAGAAGCAGAAACTTGGTCCGGCATCAAGGGCTTGAAAGAGTCAGCCCTGCCTGCCCAGGTGTGAAACAGGAAATTACAGAGAAGGGAACTATCAGCTTTCAATAGTGAAGGGGAAGAACAGTGCAATGAATATGCAATCGAGGTCCGCAGAGCACAGGGGGAAAAGCCGTAAGTGTCGGTCACATTAGGCTTTAGACCCTAGTGCGGCAGCTTTTAGAAAGAATGGAGGGGCCTCCCTGCTGTGAGATGTTTCAGCCTCTACCTCGAATCGTGAAGGAACGAATCGTGAAGGAACGTCATGCAGATGAGAAGCTGCAGTGGGGGCCGCACTCCAGGGATGAGTGGAGAGAAAGTCAGCCAGGTGCAGACAATAAAGGCCGCAAGGAATTGGCATGGAATAATGGAAAGCAGACAGGCCCCAAGAATGTAGGATGGAGGGGAGGAGGCCCGGTAAAACTGAGGTTATGTTATAGTGGGCGATTCCAAGGTTACATCTAAAAAATAACAAAGTATTTCCCACACCAGTAAGAAACAAAAGTAGATGACTTTAACTATCTGGGGAGGTAGGTAGATGTCAGAAGCAGACATGTGGTCCAATAGAAGTAACAAGTGACAGTCAAGTTAGGCCAAGTGCATAGCCTACAGGACCAAGAGACATGCCTATGGTGTGGATAGAGTGGGGAGGACAATGCAGTAGGGAAGCAGGCACCCAAAAGCATGAGCCACACACTCCTGGAGGAAGAAACGGGACTAAGTTCCTTTTCAGGGTGGTCTGACACATCTCAGGGATCACCCCTGGGTTCTGGGATTTCTCACAATTTGTCCCCCACCATGGGGCCACTGCCATCCTGCACCCAGTGAACACTGCTTCCTCCAACCACGACCATGGCCACTTTGCTAACCTCTGAAAATAATCCCAGAAACAATCCTGGCACGTGTCACCTCACCACAAAGCCACTTGGGAAAAACCTCCCCTCTCTTTCTTAGAGTTGAGTCCTAGCCTGCTATGTGGAACCAGAATAAGGAGCCTTGAAGGAGGAAATGTGGCAGCAGAGTTTGTTTTTATTTAGTCGGGCACCATGCAGAGACAAGGTTTCCAACAGAAACATCTCCTGCAGGGGAAGGAACAGGAACGCAGTGCACACATGGAAAATTGTGGTCCAGCTGCCCGGCACGTGCCCCTGGAGGCTAGCTTGCATTTGAAGAGTTGCCAAGATCTCACCTGATATGAAACAGACCAGGAGGACACCTCAAAGAGAAGTTAGAAACCTATACAGACAGAGAGATGCGTCTTTCACGTGAGGAGCCTGCAAGTGGTACCAGACGCAACGACTGGACATTAGGCAGCACTGTGGCTCCTGACCCTGACCCTCAGGCCGGTTTCCTAAGTGCTTCCGGCTGTAGGAAGCTGCAGTGCTCACTGCCCCTGTTACGGGGGACAGCATTTGTGCAGAAGCCTAAACTCCACCACTATGCAACCAGGGGGGAATCCGCGCACTCTGCCTCAGTCTCCGCTTCTGCGGAATAGAGCTAACAGTCAGAGCTGCCCCAGGGGTGGCTGTGAGGTTTCAATCCAAGGAGAGCACAGACTGTGTGTGACACATAGTAAATGCAATTAATATAGCTCCTGCCAGACTGTTTATAAGTATATTAAAATTTCCAGACACAAAAAAAATTCTCAGCATCATCTCCATGAGTGAATTTTTAGAAAAAAACATAAAATCATTGTTTATCTTGTCGTTGTTCTGGGATCCAGTCATCACACTCTTTCCAACTCACTGGCTCTGTAAATGTTCCCTATAAAAGAAACCATTCATACTTTCAGTCACTAAATTACTTGAGGGCTTTGGTGATGGTGTAAGGCCACACCCCACCTTACCCCACCTGTCTCTCTCATACACGCACACGCACACGCACACTCCCTCCCTCACCTATACACATACGCATGCGCATGCCCACGCTTTAGTATCCATCACTTTCGAGAAAGGCGGTTCTCATACCCAAAGGAAGAGCTGAAAGTCCCCAGACAGCACTGAGGAGAGGACGGCAGTGTCCCTGAGGTTCTGCAGAGCTCTGGGCAGAACAACCAGAGTGAAATGTTCAAAGTCCTCGCTACGTGGGGAGAGGCTTGGAGAAGGTATAGAGATTATTCTCCGAAACCCATGGGTTCAGTTTTCAGGTGTTTTCCATTGGGAAGCACTATACTCTGCATATCTGAGTCTTCCCAAACTTCATGTTAAAAATACTCACCCCCAAAGGGGATGGTATTAGGAGATAGGGTCTTTGAGAGGGGATTTGGTTACCAGAGCGGATGCCTCATACATGAGATTATTAACCTCATAAAAGAGGCTCCAGAGAACCCTAGCTGCTTCCACCATGTGAGGACACAAAGCAAAATGCTGGCCAGCTGCCCCCTAGAAGCGGGCCCTCCCCAGGACCCAGCAGTGCTGCCTCCCTGACCTGGGACTTCCAGACTCCACAACTATGAGAAATTAATTTCTGTTGTTTATAAGCTACACCGTCTTTGGTATTTTGTTACAGCAGCCTGAAGGGACTACAATAGAAAGACGCTGATTTTTTTTTTTTTTTATGACAAACAGGCTACATCTTCGTCTACAGCTCCCAAGCAAATCTAACTCTGCTGACCATCCTTTTCTGCCCCTGCGGCCACACTGTCAGTAAAGGTACCACTCTCCAACCCCAGCCTTTACCAGTGGATGTCGACTATTTTCTCTGCATTCACCAGACACCTGGGAACTATGGTGTCCTCACAACCATGTCATCAGTAATAAGTCAGTACACTAGAGGCTCTGAATGGGTGAATGGAAGGGGCAGGGAGGAGGGGCCTGCTTACTAGGAAAAACATCGCAGTAATTATGAGATACTGTCACAGCCCCTACCATCTTAATGAAGCAAAGCATAAAAAGTTTGAAATTTTTGATTCAAGCTGATTTTTTTAACCCATGCTCAATTTTTTTACCTAATAAAAATCACAGAATCCAAGAATTCAAAAGCTGTGTTGCCATTAGAGAGAATATACCCCTCAATTTATAGATGGAGAAACTTCTTCAAGTGAAGCTGTGCAGTGTGATTTATCCAAGATTATTAGAATTCAGAGAAAGTCCCAGGACTAGAAACAAGACCTCTCCACTTTAGAGCCCCTTGTCCCATTGTGCAACATGGCCTCACCAATCAGTCATCCAATGTCTCCTTCCTACCTTCACTGGCACTAAACACACACACACGCACACACACACACACACAGTAATAGTTCTTAGAGTACAATTATTTCATGCCTTCATTGTTCAGTCACTGGTGCTTTTACAAATCATTTTGAGACAATTCAAGGCTAGCACTGCTAATGACAAGGTTTTGATTCTAGACAATTGGTTCTCACCATTAGAACTGTGATCTGTGACATATGTGTCTGCCCATTAAGAGAACATGTTCATTCTACTAGTCTGGCTGATGAGACGGTGCTTACTTTCTTCCTCCTAGTTCTCATAAATTCTTCCTCAAATTGCCTACCCATACTTATTTTAAGAGTGCCCAAGATTCTTCATTTATGAAATAAAAACTATACAACATTTAAATAACACAAATTCCTACAAGACTGTGACCATTTTTTAGATATAGAAAATGACCAATAAAGTTGGATGAACATATGTCCATCTAATAAGGGACTTCAAAAGATTTATCATAATATATTTCAATAAATTTATGGAAAAAGCTTACAAGTGCTTTTATTGTTTGCAAATGAGTACAGTATTTCAAAGTAATGTTAAATAAAATTTCAGCATATAGAAATAGAAGATGATTCTTTGTAAAAAGTATTCAGTAAGTACTTATCTACAATATTTGTTAATCATAAAGTCAGTTGATTACACTGATTTGAAAGTTTTGACATTGGAATTATCAGACCTATGAGTTTGCATGGCCTCAACATCTATTTAAGGTCTATTTTTATGTTGTTTGGTTGGCTATGTTTTTGTTGCTTTTTTATTAAATTTGATTTTGGAGACAAAGAATCGGTAGATGTTTTCAAATATTTGTTTAATACATGACTGTGGTCTACACAAACCCCAAAGAAGCAATTCACTGCCTTGCTGGACCTTTCCATACTAGAAACACGTACTGTTATACATTTCAGTATTCACTTTATCTATCATATTTTTTAGCAATTTAAAAAATATTTTAAAAGATGAAATATCTGTGGAATTCCCCAATCTCCTCGCTGGAACCTAAGAATCTGACAAAACACAGTGTGGATTCTACTATTCTCAAATCTCTTTCCTCAAACTACTTGGCTCCGAGTCCAAGTCCAAGTCCATTTTTGCTGTTGGAACTATTCCAATCCAGCTAGCAGGATGAGGGACCTGAAATCTCCCCAGACAGCTTGATCTGTTAGAGTTTAGGTCAACGACCTATGAAGCTAAAGGTTACAAAAAGAAAGAAAATCTTCTAAAGGGGAAAAAAAATT